TACTGTACCGTCGCCGTAATAGCAAGCCAAATTAATCTATACGTTACAAACGCTTCTGCACAGCCGCTCATATTACCTCGAGGAGCTGGTATTGCAACCATCCGGACATCGACCATGATAGCCTCGCCGTTTTGGCTCAAGACACGTGCCATCTCTACTCGCAGCCAATTCCTCAAACCCAGTGCTCCACCAAACATACAACGCTGATGATCGACAGCTGCTTAACAACCAACCAAAGGCAAGCTCTTTCCAGTCTTCTGGACGCATATAGCGACTTATTTGACTTCAACCGCTCGGCACTCCCACAGACATCTGTGGTGCACCACCAGATTGAAACGGGAAACACAAGTCCCCTTAGGAGTCGCCCGTATCGTATTTCACCTGCGGAACGTAAAGTGATTCAAGACCATGTGACTGATATGCTGAAAAACAATGTTATACAGCCGTCATCCAGCCCTTGGTCCTCCCCCGTGGTTCTCGTTAAGAAAAAAGACGGTTCATGGCGCTTTTGTGTTGATTACCGGCGTCTAAACAGGGTAACTAAAAAAGACGTATATCCGCTCCCTCGCATCGATGACATGCTCGACGCACTTCAAGGGTCTTCGTTCTTTTCATCTGTTGACCTCCGTAGCGGCTACTGGCAAATCCCGGTTGCCAACGCGGACAAACCGAAAACCGCGTTTGTCACTCCGGACGGTCTCTTCCAATTTAATGTCATGCCTTTTGGCCTGTGCAACGCTCCCGCGACGTTTGAGCGGATGATGGACAGTGTTCTACGCGGTTTAACATGGAACATATGTCTCTGCTACCTCGACGATGTTATTGTATTCTCCTCTACCTTTGAAGATCATCTACATCGACTCCAGCAAGTTATGGACTGCTTTCGCTCCGCTAATTTGCAGTTGAACTCAAAAAAGTGTACGTTCGGGGCTCGGGAAATTCGGATTCTGGGTCACTTAGTCAGCTCGGAAGGCATCCGCCCAGACCCCACCAAAGTCCAAGCTGTCTCTGACTTTCCGAATCCCAGAACCACAAAAGACATCCGGGCTTTTCTTGGACTCTGTACATACTTCCGAAAGTTCATCCCTCGTTTCTCAGATCTCGCCGAACCCCTGAATGAACTACTTCGAAATAACACTACATTCCAATGGGGACCCTCCCAGGCCCAGGCATTCCTATCTCTTAAACGTGCACTCATTTCCGTCCCAATACTTGGCCACTTCGTACAGGGAGCTGACACGGAAATCCGAACGGATGCCAGTGGACATGGCATCGGGGCTGTTCTGGCGCAAAATGTAAATAGTCGCCCACGCGTCATAGCATACGCTAGTCGAACTCTAACGAAGTGTGAGAGAAATTACAGTATTACGGAGCGTGAATGTCTAGCGCTAATATGGGCGATATCGAAATTCAGACCATATCTTTACGGCACCCATTTTAAAATTGTTACAGACCACCACGCCCTATGCTGGCTTGCCAGCCTTAAAAATCCATCTGGCCGCCTTGGGCGTTGGTCGCTGAAAATTCAAGACTACGACTTTAGCGTTGTTTTCAAGTCAGGAAAACGTCATCTGGATGCCGATGCGCTGTCCCGATGTCCTCTCCCCACTGACATTTCACATCATGCTCCAAGCGACCACGATTCTTCCATCGCTCTGTTGGATACCGTTGACATCGCGGCTGCTCAAGCGTCCGATCAGAATATCCGGCCACTAATACAATGCTTGATGGGGATTCCTGGATCTCTCACGCGGCACACTCAACAGCGCGCTCGTCTCTTCACCCTTCGTGATGGTGTCCTCTATAGACGAAACTACGAGCCACACGGACGACCCTGGCTGCTCGTTGTTCCTCGGACCCTCCAGAAAGACATCATCCAAGCACACCACGATGACCCTACCGCTGGACATCTCGGTTTCGCAAAGACATACTTCCGCGTGCGTTCGAACTACTTCTGGAATGGCATGTATCGCACCATCAACAAGTACATTCGCACGTGTCACCAATGTCAGCTTCACAAGACTCGAACCATTCAGTCATCCGGCCCTTTGCATTCCATAACACCGCCTCATCGACCCTTCCAAACAATCGGAATCGATTTTCTCGGCCCATTTCCTTCGTCTACAAACAACAACCGGTGGATAATTGTCGCTGTAGACTATCTCACCAGATACGCCGAAACAGCCTGTGTTCCAACCGCCACAGCCCAAGAAGTGGCAACTTTCTTTCTGCACAACATTCTCCTCCGGCATGGTGCACCCCAGGTTATAATAAGCGATCGGGGCACTCCTTTTATAGCTAAGCTCCTCGATGATCTTTTGCGCCTGGCTAACACAACTCATAGATTAACCAGCGCTTATCATCCCCAAACCAATGGGCTAACAGAACGCCTTAACCGCACGTTATCAGAGATGATGTCGATGTACGTCGCGGACAATCATACAAACTGGGACGCTATTGTCCCATATGTGACCTTCGCTTATAATACCGCGCGTCAGTCAACGACAGGCTTCTCACCGTATTACTTGCTATTCGCCCGTGAACCACTTACAACTCTGGATACTATCTTACCCTCCGTCTATGAACGTCACACGTCGTATCCTTCAGAGGTCATCTGCCGCGCGGAGGATGCTCGACAACTCGCGCGTTTTCAAACGCTACGATCGCAGCAGCAACAACAGCTTCGTTACGCACAGACGCATGGCGAAGCATCCTACAACGTTGGTGACGAAGTCCTTCTCGCCACCCCACTCCGCAAGCCAGGTAAATGTGAAAAATTGCTCCAGAAATACACTGGGCCGTTTCGCATTCTCCGCCGTCTGTCTCCTACAAACTACGAAGTGGAACCAGTGGCACCACCTAGAGATCACCGCACGAAGTCACGTGACATTGTCCATGTTTCCCGCATGAAACCTTTCCACCCACCCTACGACTGAACACACCAAGGCCGGTGGACCGGCCCTTTATCCCCCCGGGGGAAGTGTTAGGGAGAAGACGACGAAGCTGAAAGAGGAGGTCCAAGCTGCGCGCGCTCTTCAGCTGCACAACGATCTTGTCGCTTGAACACCTCTATCCAGTTCTTATTAAATCACCTTCTTAACATCCTCACAATATATAGGGGCGAAATGTTAGGACCTTCAGATAGCACGACCGCGTTTCGTAAGATGGAGCTAACTAAAACCCGCATGGCGCCCATGCTTCTGTACGTACAGGGACCTATCTGTACGAAGGGCATTAATATACGCACAGCCGAGAAGACCCCGATGCTGTGTACTGGGTCTGTAGAGATAGAAAGCGTTGCAAGGCCAAAATCACCAGTTTCAGATGCCCTAAGTGGAGTTGGTCTGTAATGAGTTATTATAGACCCAATATTTTCATGTTTCAGAGTGGTTGTTATAGTCGGTCATGGAGTAATGAGTTTGCTTCCCTTGATAACACGAGCGTGCATGCCCATCCAAAGCACGGCGGAAGCTAACGTGCACGTTCTTTACTTGTCGCCGACAATACACCATCCTCAGGTACGGCCCAGCGTGCAATATTTACAGACCAGCACGTGCGTGCTCGTCGCTTCGGAAGGCGAGCAAAGCACGTGCCATACGCACAAACTCTCAAGCCGCCAACTTAATTATTATCTGTCATCAGTTATGGAAGCCGAATCGCAAATGCAAGATCGGCGAAAAAGGTAAATTGTGACAAAGTGGGCAAGTGCCCAGTTGCCCTCTGTTACGACTTTCTCGTGTACGAGATGCCGTATAACGACTTGACCTATTTGATGAAATTACCTATGACGAGTTGGCTGTGACGAGTTGGCTTGTGACGCAGCCACAACTCTAGTTCACAGGTGGCAGTGCACGAGATGACTCGTGGCGTTTCATGCTCTGCACGCACAGAGCTCCAGCCAGGTTGTCGCACGCGCAGAAATAGCAGTGAAACTGGCTGGTGAGGTAGTGGCTGCTTATTGCAACATATTTCACGAGTTGAGGGTACGGTGTCTGCTGCTGAAGGTAGATCTTGGTGAATAGAGACGTCACAAGCTAAACTTTCTGACAATACGGTCAAAAGCTGCGTAGGTTCTGATAAAACAAAAAAAAAAGACGGATCGGTTGTTAATCTGCCAACTCCTTTTCAATGAACACACATCTTGATCATGAGAAGACCTGGAGAAGAGGCCAAGGTGCACCTCACCCCCCTCACCCTTAATGCCCAGTTGTTGACACTGAATACACAGCTGGGAGAGTCCACTTTGCCCAGTATTCTTGTTTACTGAATGTGGGACCAAGATATCAATGTATCCGGTGTCAGCGTTTGTCAGCTCTCTGTCAACACTCAGATAAAATATCTGAAACAATGAAATATATCAAGAATGCCTCCTTGCCCCATTGCAACAAGGAGCCTGTAAGCTTGCACAGAAACTGACACTTGCCCTACATTCTTGGGAATGTACACAAGAGAGAAAACTTTATTTGTAACTTCCAGCTCCTCCCGGACCTGCCCATTTCTTTGCATTGACAAATGACAAAAGTGCCAAACTGGCACACTTTTTTTTTTTTTTAATTCTATCAAAGCAAAAGAAATTTCCGAAGCGTTTTAAAAATAGAAGAGAGAACGTTGGACAAACAAACCATGATGCTGAAACCTGCGGGGCGTGGCGGATTCGCACATCACGCTTTCAAAATCAGCTGGAACCCAGTGTAATCGGCGTTGGGTAGACATGGCATCATCTTATCAGCCCACAACGGGAACCTCCAGATATATATAGGTTTCTGTTTACGTGACTCGAGTTAAAGGCTCGTTTGAAGCGCGGACAACGCAGATATTCTTATACCTCCGATAATGCCGAGAAAACAAAAGATCGCAGCCAAAACTAGCGATAGTCGAAACGACGTTGTTGTAGCAGTTGTACGTGCGAACCACCAACTGCATCGGACTGAACGCGGGCACGCAATTCACGACTGCGAAAAAAAAACACCACCACCATGAACGGGCGAGTCTAAACTTGCCTATTTTGACGATTCCGACCTCCCAGACTCCAGCGATGGCTGACGAAACAACGAAGGCTGACGACTACTATAAACTCACGGTAGTGGAGACCGGAGATCCGACGTCACTGTCGTCACACATGTATCTTGTTTGCCTGGAGAGCGCGGCGGCGGAACGAACGAGATTATCGCCAGCTAATCCGAGTAACGGCAGCGCTCGCGGGAATCATTGCCGCTCGCAAACCCCGCAAGCCTGGCGTGACATGTCGGACGACCGCTGGGCTTTCGAGTAGGGACTAGAAGCGTCCAGAACGGAATTATTCGGCAAAAACGAAGCGTGAGTGTACGACAAACACACCTGTTGGTGGCGGCGGCGGGCGTGGGTGGAGTTCCGCTACCCGGGGCTGCGTGCACGCAGGCAGGTTGCGCTGGGGGTTCCAGGTTTCTTGTTCACGATGACGGCGACGGAATGCGGCCCTTGTCTTCGGAGTTAGTGGAGGCTGGAAGTGCGGCAGGCATTGCTGATCGCCCTACGACGGTGTTGTTGAGAGAGCCGGCGGTAGCTCACAAACCGGAACCTTGGATGGGCTGCAGAAACGGTAGCTGGGTCGGCCGAGGATGGACGCATGCCGCTCAAGACCTCACGCGATTGGAGTTGGCAGTGTGCGCGCTAATTTGGAGACGGGATTCCTGTTCCCTGACTGGGCCCCGGTGTCGACATTTACGAGTAGGGGTGGGAAAAGGGACGACGAAATTATGTGCACCCCCAAAATCAGGGCGCAATATCGGCGATATCGGCACCCAAGTTTCGCGCAGCAGCCGCCAGATGGTGAAAGCGACGCAAAGACGCAAACGCTTTGGGATGGTAAAAGCTTGGTGGTGCAAGCGCAAGCCTCCGATGCCCGATCAGAGCGACGGATCAAAGAATGGATAGATTGCTCTGAGATGCTCTGCTAATGGCCAGGCCAACGAGGTAGGGCCAGGCACTGCCAGAGCCGTGGGCAGTGGGCACTGCTAATGGCCAGCTAGTGGCTGTACTCTATTGTATAATAAGCGGTAGCTTGCGCCACCTAGCCTGAAAACTGGGAAAGTAGCATTCCTCGGTCATGGCCTCCGCGCCAACGCTTCTCCGGCCGTCCCGTTCGTGCGGAGAGGGAGTAATCGAAAAAAGAGAAGGAGGCGGCGTCTCTCCGCGGGGAGGCGCTCCCAACCCAGTCATCGACAGCATGGCGCGAGGCAGAAGAGTTCAAGAAATAAGTCCCGTTACGTTGAGTTACTGCATCTTATACTTACACGTTTTTGTGTATTGCGGTAGAACGGTGAACAGCAGCTCTGGGGATGTAGATAGAAACTTTGTGATGCTTATTTAATTTGAGATATTCATCTGGACATCCTATCTGGACATGTTGCGGCTAGCGCTACAAGCGCGCCTTGTAGCGCTAGCTACAAGCGCTTCATCTTTGTACAAGGTGAAAATAAACTGATTTGATTTGATTTGATTTGATTTGATAAATTTGATTGCAGTCTGTGACACGTATAAAAAATAGCTCCGTTCATAAAAAAAATAAATATATATATATATATATATATATATATATTTATTATTCGCATTTCCCTAAATATAAAATAATCATGCTGCAGTATTTTTTTTTTATTTATTTACCTTCGCACGTTGTTTGGCGTCGCTTTTCAGCTTCACGAGGTTTGATACTATATAGTGAAGTCCGTGTTGTCCTTATAATATTTTTAATATTCATTACGCAATTTTTGCGGGTCATATTGCGGTGTTTACTTCACTAGAAGTACCTTTAAGCCGGGGTCGCACTGCTTATGCATTAAAGACAGTCTCGTCTGCAGATATCAGTCACCACGATAGCGCAATCTAGAACGCCGCCTCTCGGCAACTAGCGGCGAACGCCCGGAGGTTCCAACTGCGGTCACAAATGCATGGAGAACGTGAGAAAATCGTTGTTTCTTCAGTATTGTGGGGTTGTACGGAATGGCAATTGTTTTTGAAATAATAATGGTATATTTTAGAATAATTTGCGCTAAGTTTTGTGCCCCGCAAGGACGTGACTTTTTTTTTAAAAAATTGCCTGAGCGGCATCATGCAGCAGACGACACGGCGACGTCACACCATTCACGTGACCCGCTCCGGCCAACCCGAAAAGCCCATCTCCGCTGCGAGCAAAAATCGTCTGCTTCAAACGCCATTGCCTTGGAAATTGCCTTCTCGAAATTTGCACACGCATCCGATATTATTAAATCTTTGATAAATTGTTTAGTGCTTTACTAACTTCACGACAGACTAGTTTTGAAAAGTGTGAACTCGCCGTTCATTTTTTAATCAGCCGTGTTGTATCGATATCCATGTATTCTCCCATAGGGCGGGCCGCCTCCTGGAACCCTGAGTACCACGTGACTCGCGCCGAGCCGCTCTGTCGGCCATGTTGTCGGCAAAACACGGGGTTCAAAGGATTGCGCTACTCTGCTCCGTAGGAGCTATAGGAAGCGAGCAAGCCGGCCGTGTCGCGGCGGTCGCCTATTGTTCGCCGCGACCTGGCGGTAGCCGCCGCAGGAGCATCGGGCAGCAATGGCGACGAACAGCACGGCGGACAGTGCCCCCGCCGTGATTACGACGGAATTTAAGGCAGTTGCGAGTTCGGAAAGTTCCTTCGGAAGCCGGTGCCGCCGGCTCAGAATCATCGCGAAGTAATAGCAACGAACAGCACAGAGGACAGTGGGCGACTAAGAATCCGGAAAGCTTCTTCGGTAGCCGGTGCAGAATCATCGAGGGGAAGCAGTGGCGATTAGCAGCACAGCGGACAGTCGGTTACGAATCCAGAAAGCTTCTGTAGGGGAGACCAAGAGATGGCGCCAGGAGCGCATCGTGATCTAGATAAGCGCGTGCGCCGCGAGACGCGGGGTACTTTTCGCCACTTGATGCTAGGGAAATAAACGTTGTGGGTCTGCTTCGTCTACCCTCGTCTGCTTCGTCTGCCCGGCTGGCGCGTCGCGCCCAGAGCACACAAGCTCTGAACAGCTTCTTCCGTGGTGCCAATACGACGAAGAGAAAACTGTTTCATGAATCTGGCCGCGTGTGCGACGTGAAGGAGGTCCGTTTCGACGGACAAGTGGATGTCACGGAGCGCCGTACTCTGCAAACAAAATTAAGCGCGCCCGCAAAAAAAAAAAAAAAAAAAAAAAAAAATTGTTGGCGTTGAGTGGACCGCGGTAATTATGTAAGTTTATTTCTGAATCAGCTTGACAATAACTGGGCGATTTTTTTTCGCGCCGTTCCGCGATTCTCTTTACTATCTTCCTGTAGGCTGATGGAAACATCCAACGGTAGGCTTAGGAGGGCGACCGCATTCCGCTTCTCGATTCCGGTGAAGTATTTGCTACATGTTTGCCGTCGGTGTCGATGCTGCTCCATCGTCGCTAGAAGAGAAAAAAAGTTAATTGTATTATTCGTCAGCAGCTTAAACAAAGCGCGAACTGGAAGGTAAGAAACGCCACTAACCTGTATGGACGCACAAGTCGTACCCAGGTCGCGCAGTACTCCGCCTCGTACGGCTTCGAAGGGACGATTTAGTACTTCGTGCCGTGCGCGATCTTGCCGACCACGCAGCAATTGTTGCGGCTTTCCTGGTGCGGAATAGCAATCTCAGAAATTACAGCGCTAACCCACTACAACCCTTGACTACAACGCACAACCAACGTAGCGACTGCAGAAGATGCCCGATGCAACGGACCCGTTTGCCGCTAGGGGCGCCCTGGTCGGGGCTTGAATTAGATCCGCACGGTTCCTATATAGTGCTCTAACCACGATATTCGTGGTTCAAATGCCGCGTTCCAAGAGTTTCCTTGAACTCGTTGCCTTGCGGCATCCGAAGCTCAGATCTCGTGGTGACTCGAGTTTGAATCTGTTTGCAGACTGTCTTTTGTATGATGTACAAGCAGCGTGACCCCGGCTTTGGGGGAAAACGTATGGCGGTGAGGTACAACCACCTCGTAATTATTTCGCCATTTTTTTTTATAAACTTGGTGATAATTGTAGGCACTGATTGAAAAGATTGGGCATTATCTTGTAAACGTATAGTTTTTGGCACTTGTAGCACAGACCACCGTATCCCGTAATGCACTTTGTGAAGTAACTTAATTGATATGCAAACAAACAATGGGATCTCAAGAGAAAGAACTCTGGTTTATTTATAAATTTCAGTCTTCTTCCAACCTGGGTTATTCGGTATTCCAACCTGGTATATTTACAGATTCCAAACCTTAATTTTTAAGGTTAGACGCGAAGTAATTTGCGATGCGATATGTTTTCAAGCAGTTTTTTTCGATACGCGCTACTCTGTCTTTCATAGTCATGCCTATGTTAACCAAGAACGGCCGTACAAACTTTTCTATAACAATTCTAGAATTTTTTGTTTCATGATCATTTCACAAATTGCGCGGCATGGCATCTCGCTTGCAACTGCTACACATAAGTTGATTATGATACCCAATAGTAAATACTGTAAGCACCTCTTTTTTTCGCTGCTATTATTATTTGGACCAATCTGCAGGCCTCACCCGAACTTCCTTTTCTGCCAGTGTTACCAGATGGTCCCACCAAAAAACCGCCAAACGACTGGGAGGTATAGCCCAAATAGAGCCAAAGCCGTAAAAAAAAAAATATAGCCCAAAATAGCCAAGAGTAAAACAATGAATTTTAGGCATTATATTGACAATTTCTCACGCTCATACAATTGATGTTACAATCTTCGTTTCAACCCTGAGAAGCACCACCTTTTGTGAACATTATGTTACTTGTGAATTTTTCAAGAAAAGCTTCGGAAGGATGAATATCCGTACCAAACTGGCCCTTCCTTCGTAGGTTTTCAGAAGTACAAAACACACAAAGTCAGCTTTATTGTGAAGCCCGGGAGATATGATCATAGAATAAAAGAACAAAGTACAATAGCAGAACAGTCAAAACACTGGGTGTTTCGAACCAGAACCCCAATATCTCAAGTCCTTACTAATATCCCCCCGTCTCTTTTTCTTTGTGAAGAAAATTAGTGTCACCCATTCATGTTCACGCTATTTTCCTTTCTTGGGGTGAGCAACGACTGCAAGGTAGTCAATTGTTTAGAGGTGAAACTGCGGACTTCTCATTTTTTCAAACCTGGGATCATTTGGAGAGTTCAGTCTACGTCCGGGCAGAGCCGTATGCGTCCGGGTTGACAGCGCCGTACCGGGCCTGGGGTAATAGTGCAATTTGTTTGGTTTACTCCACTGCGCTGTAGGGAGAGCGCTTGAACTCTGCAAGCATTGCTTCACTGCGTAATGCGAAAACCCCAAAGTTTGTAGAAGTTTGAAGCCTTTCTTCTTCCGCTCCCTCCTCTCGACTAGCCAAAAGAAAACTTTTTTGTTTCGAAACTGATTAAAAGTTCGAAAATTAACTAGGTTCGACAAAAGTTCGCGGCATTCTTAGAAATAGCCCAAAATAGCCACATAGCCAACCACGAAATGTTGACGCCAACTAGAAAAAAATCTAGCCCAATTTAGCTATATATAGCCCAATCTGGCAACACTGAAATTTATTTTTCTGCGATCAAACACACCGGAAAGGACGGAAAAACAAAAATGACAAGCAGAAGTAACAAAATCACGTGTGACAGTTGGAAAGGAGGGGAAACATCGTGACGGTTTGGACAAAAGACGGGCGAAGTTATAAATTAGCCACTCTCGCTGCGCACAACCGTAAAAAAAAAAAAAAAAAAAGGAAAGAAAGAAAACAGCAATGTCTAACATTTTGGACAAAACCCCGACACAATATTAAAAAAA